GGGTATACATCTGTCTATTTTTCTCTCTTTTTGTAAATTTTTGTGGGTTTTTCTTATTATTTCTGTAGTTATTTTTGTTTTTCTCTCTAATGTTATTTATTTTTCTCTCCCTTTTAAAATTTAAAACCTTAATATTTTTTAATAGCCACTTTTATGAATAAAAATATAATATCCACCTCAATTCTTTGGGGTAGAAACCCGGGGGGGGGGTTTGGTTTTTAGATATACCCAGTTGATTTCCCCCCCCCCCCGCGTTTTTTTTTTTTTTTTTTTTTTTCTCAAAATTTTTTCAGGGAAAAAATTGCAGGTTTTCATTTTTTTTTTCAACCCCCATGGGGGGTGGGATTCTTTGGCCGGTAGTTCCCCCCCAATAGGCCGGGTAAATTCCCCCCCCCCCCCCCCCCCTCCCCCCCAAACCCCCACCCCACTCCCCCCACCTCTGTGAACACTTTACAGTTGACTTGCAATAGAGAGAGAAGATACATAGCTTGGTTGGGTGACTTACAGATTCACTCATTCAATAATCACCCCATTATTCCTATTTGATAAAATACAATATTTACAATATTGCCATTTTCGACAAAATTAAGGTTTCCTTCTGGTGTGATGACGTCATGTTTCTTGCAAGACAGATAGATTCCTCTGTAATATTTATTCTGTATTTAATCTAATCATTTTTTATTTATTTTCCACATGCATTGCAAAGGTTACCCCTCATCCGCTAATTCAAGAACACACACACACACACACACACACACTAAATACTAAATTCTTATTTAAATCTCTGTTGTTTAATTCCAATTACATGATTATTTAATTATTTAATTAATTAATGTAATTTAGCTTTTTAGCTAAACCGGGCTGTAATCAGGCCCTTAATCGAACCGACAAAGGCGAAGAGAATCACGAGCAGCGTTACGAAGCTATAAACTCGGAAAATAACCGACTTGCTAGTCCAAGGTACAATCCCTTTCTGCGCAAGGTACATCTCCACCGGAAAATAGACGACCACTGGCCAGAAGTTGATCGCGCCGGCTACTCCGACGACTTGATTGAAATACGGGAATAAAATGGCGAACCCCGTCGTGAACGCCACGTAGGCGGTTCGGAGGGACAGCCTCATGAGATTCAGCCTTAGAACGGGGACTTGTTTTAGGGTTCCGTGCACGAATGCGCTGTTTGGGAATTTCTTCCCTATCGATTTCTCGATGCCCGCAAAGAGTGGCTGACTGAATACCTACTAATGCAACGAGATTAATTTTAATTTTAATTTTTTTAAATAAAGCATACAAAATAAATGAAAAATCAAGCTATTAAAAACCCTTAATTTTAGGGGGGAAAAATCATTTCTTGACAAAATTACCCCTTTGTGATTTTTTAGCTTAGCTACGTTGAAATTGTAAAACCAACGTTTACTGTGAAAAATATATATACCATTTCTTGATCTAAATCCGACACGTAAAAAAAGAAACGAGAGTGAGTACCTGATACCCTCCGACAAGATGAAGAACCACGCATGCATTAGCAAAGTCTATTAGCCAATAGGGCTCGTAAAATCCAAATCCGGTCAAAAGATTCCCCGGAGTAGAGTTTCCAAAGGCGGCATAACCGAAACCTCCACAGCACAAGTAGAACGAACGTCGTTACAAATACCGCCAACAAAAGACGCCTTCTTCATTACGACTTTTTCCG